CCCCCCCCTCTCTTTTAAGCCCCCCCCTCTCTATTAAGCCCCCTCTCTATTAAGCCCCCCCTCAAAAGTGCTTGAAAAAAAATAAGCTCCCCGGGGGGCTTAATAGAGGATTTACGGTAATTGAAATAGAAAATTACAAGTAGCAGTGTCATTAAGGATTCAGTTCATGAGAATTACTAAAGTGATCATGATTTATGATTATAATTGTATGTGTGGGCATTCTCCTTAAAGAACTGAATCCATGTAAAAAGTACCAATTTTTTACCAGCTCGGCAAGTGTTCATAGTTATTCGTGTACATGCATAAGAAACAAATCCCTATGCAAGAGTGAATTTGTATGAAATGTCCACAAACAAGTTATGTTGAAAGTGATCAGTTTCTCCATTGGTCTCAATTCTAAACATGCATGAGCTTGTTGAGACAGTGTCAGAGCCATAGATTTTTAATTTCCCAAACTGAGACGAGGCAAATGAACACTTTCCCTGTATTACATGCATCTAACATGAATGTAAAGCTAAGTGCAGGATGGATTGATCTTATGGGAAACCCTACATAAATATCTGCTTGCATGTCCTTTAATTTCTTGAAACAATCTTCATCTGCCAATGGAACAAATGTTTTATTTCTGTGAACATGTCACCTCTAGTCTGACTTCTTTGAAAGAGTGAAATTTTATGCGTGACCTGTTAAATTTTCCCTAACAGCGAAAGGAATTAACGTTCCTGGCATGGCAACCATGTCACACACTAACATTCTAAGGATATCCGAAATACTGATGTTATTTCGAATAAAATAGAAACAAAAATATAGGGGGCCAACAATAACAAATTTTTGTCATGTTTGACTTAAAAGACACAGCTGGGTTTATGTATAAGGCTGCTATACATATAATTTACTTGTGAAGGAAATTGAATGAAAATTGTAGGCTTAAACGAAAAATGTTCCCTAGTAAGGATTTTGTTTACAAAATGTAACGCTTCCCTACATGTCACACATTATCGGTGTTGTAAACTGTTCATTGTAAAATAAAGCTTACTGTAAAACGGTGAAAAGGCTGATCGGCTGTCCTCAGTTCGTTGCAAAGATACTCCTCGTGTCGATTTTACAGATGGTGTAATTCTTGCTTCCTATCGCCGCATCGAAGAAGATAATTTTGACTGTGAACTTGCCTCTCCTTGCGAATTCTATTGACCGAATACTGAAACGTCGGCAGTCAGTGTTCCCTCTCTTCGTCGGCTTCTTTTGCAGTGTAACTGTAGTATTTTGTTGCTAACTCTTTACATATTCGTGGTCGCTCTACAACCTATGGCTCTAGTTGACAGTGTTCCTTCGCTGTGCCGTTACTTGCGCTGAATTTAAAGTCGACGTCCTTGCTCTTGCGGAGTTTTGTTTGTAAGTCTTTCCCAGCGAGGATTTCCAGCCACCTGTTGAATCCACCGTTGTTAAGTTTGCTGTTCTCTTTTGTTTTACCTGAGATACTGGGTGATTTACCGACCGTAAACATTGTTATAATTCACAGATGAAAACACTACTACAGCTACTACACCAACTACAGCAACTACACCAACTACATTAACTACACCAACTACACCAACTACACCAACTACAGGAACTACACCAACTACAGCTACTTCACCAACTACAGCTACTACACCAACTACACTAACTACACCAGCTACAGTACTACACCAACTACAGCTACTACACCAAGTACAGTAACTACAGCAATTACATTAACATTCTCATAGTGGGCTTAGTGGTCACTTAATGTCTCTATATTCGTGACGGTTATCATGAACCCATTACCTATTTTTTGATGATATGCGAAAAAAATTTCAGTGAAATCTCGCACTCGTAGTCCTTCTCCTCAGTTTAGGATATGTAACAGAGACGTTAACACATTTATTTTTAGTAAGGTTGATTACTTTCTCAGCTAAATAAAGTCTTCTTGCCGTTGAAAAGTTAACGGCAATGAACCCTTCATAAAAAATTTTCTACAGAGTTAAAGAATTCTTTTTTTACAATGTAGCAGTCAAGTGAAACAGGTATAAGTCATTTCCAATCTTGTGTTTTGTTTTTGGTCTTTTCATTAATTGTCTAATTGTATTCTAAAAACACTTTTGTGGCAAGCAAAACCGTGACTGATATTTCATAAAACCTTAATTCAGCCTCACTTGCACTTGAAAATGTAGTTCTTAATATTTGGTGGGTGTTACTGTATTCTAATGGTTCCGTGCAACACAATTGATATATGAGCCATTAAGGCCGAAACTCTGGAAAAAAAAAACTCTGAAAATTCATATTTGAGATTAGTGCTGTATGATCAATAAGTGTTAGTTTCATTTTCTTCTTTTTCGGGGTGGGAGGGGTGGGGAGGGGGAAATATTTAGGGATAAAAACTGAGGGGCCAAGGGTAGATGTAAAAATATGTTTAATGTAGAGGCCGTCATTACATATTGCAGAATCCACCCATCTTATTCCATCAGCACCACCCCCTCCCCCCTCTCTCTTCCCGCTACCAAACGGTCTCAATTTGAAACACTTAGAAGATAACCTTTTTCGAAAGAAATCCTATTTTACAGACGAAATACGCCTCTATGGTAGTTATAACTTATTAAACATTTTTATTGTGTGTGAAGATGCTTTTTTAATTTATTGTGTGGTTTTAATATTATTGCGTTAAGGTGCTAACGAACACGTAGTCGAGTATGGCGCTATAATATTACAATGAAAATACTAAATCAGACAAAAACTTAGCGAAAGGCGATTGATTTTTGTTCATGTATCCCCTTGATATTCCATCTGATTAAAGTTTCAACATTTTCACAAATGACGATCTTTAAATGTAATGATAATTCTCAGTATTTGTCTCAAAGTTTGCGTGAGTATATCGGCCATTTATCTAACACAGGCTCGACCGCAACAACCCAGCGATAACCCCATTAACACCATGGTTTTAGACTCTTAGCGGTTGATATATTGAAAGCTGTAAGTTAGTAGATATATGATTGACTCTTATCAAGTAGAATTTCTATAATATATTAGTACAAGGTATCAGTTAACAATCGGAATCATGCAAATAGAATACTTTCTAGATCTGCTATTGTCGTTAATTCAGTGGGCTAGCTCATCTCAAGGTAACGCACAGAGTCCCGCCACTATATTGCTCAGAGAAAATAGGTTTACTTGATCATTTCAAATTCGTATTCGATTTATATATATAAAAAAAAGCCTTTCAAACTGCTCTGCATGACAGGCAGGCTGTTTACTGAGTGCACATTGACTATGAAAAATCTGGCGATTACTTTCAATTTTAGAATCGCATTAATTTATTTATGGTTTTTTTTTTCATTCACAGCTATTCTTCGCTTTTTCCCCATTAATGGTCCTTCTGACATATTTAAAGTAAATATAGTAAATATTCTCAGACTTTCTCACTGTACGTTCGTCATGCATGCATATTTTCTTGGGTAATTTGTTCTTTTGCGCTCTCCGTCAACATGCACAGTTTTAGCTGGGTTTGAATACAGAAGATGACTATATTGATACGCCCACTTAAAAAGCTAAAAAAAGTAAAAAATGTCAAAATTGAACAAAGTCTTTGATTTGTTCGTTCTACTTTTACAGTTTTTTTATTCATTCAATTCTTTCTTCTCCGTCTTCTTCTCAGTCCTCAACCATATTACGATTTTAATTTCATTTATTTATAAACTGTAGCCTTTCGTTAATACTATTAGGAGTATAATTTATTTTTTGCACGCACTGTCCCGCATCGAATAGCCTTGCTAGCTGCGGACAGAGCGTCTGTTATATAATCTGCTTATTAATAAAGTTTTGTTGTTGTTGGTTTTGCCTGATTACTTGAAACAGGTTGTGCTATCAGCTACGCCAAAATCGGTTGCTTCAAAGATGACAGAACTAACCCTCGACCAGTACCTGTTCTCGTTTTTACCGATCGTGATAACAGTAGTAATGTATGGAGTGGTAAGACCATCGACTGGAACAACTGGGATACATACATAGTTGATCTGGTTTGCAGATGTGCAAATAAGTCAAGGGCAAGGAACTATTCCCACTTCAGCATTCAGTATTACGGTAACTGTCGAGTGAATATAGTATTTTTTATAATTTTTAAAATGAAATTGTTTTCTGTTTTATCATTTTACTCATTTCCTTATAAGAGGCTAGAACATGTACCGAGATATGCAGTCCTCAAAGTGTACTACATACATCGATATTTCGAATCGACCATAATGCACGTTGTCTACTGTTTTGACGTCTCGTTGTGGTCGAAAGTGTTATAAGGCCCCATTTAATTTATAGTAATACATCTTTAATCCTTCTCCATCCTATATCCTTACCAATAGAGACCTTTAGATTCTAAGACAAGAGCGACTATGAGTTAGAGATTTATTTTCTGAATACTAAGTAGCTCTCGCGCCAGTACCAGCGTCACTTTGCAGCACCTCACTGAACGGCTCACACAATTGGCTATGAAAACAATAGAAACGGTGACATAACAATGCCCCCATCCCTGAAAACAAAAGGCAATATTGTTTTAGTCCGACCGCTGAAATTAGAGGTTCATGTGAGGTACTGGAGTACTGTCACTTTTGCAGGAAAACCTGATAGTCGTTGTCTACTACGAGTTTTAACGAGAATGTCGTAGTGGTGGAACCAAGTTATCAAATGAATGAATATGTTATTTAGAGATTTTATCACTTTGTGATTGTGAGCGGGCTTAACCTCCTACAATAAAGATAATAGTGCCAACTTTTCTGGTGAAGGAAAACAGGACAATGGAGCTTTCCGGGGTGTCTATTTTTTGATGATATGCGAAAAAAATTTCAGTGAAATCTCGCACTCGTAGTCCTTCTCCTCTGTGAATCTTAATGTCTCTAATGTTGAATTCGGAGCAAGATGGGTTCAAATAAGTTATTTCATTGGCACAACATTGCTGCAGAAAACTGAGGGGATCAAAGGATGTAAAAGATCGTCTAGCTTTATGATTCCTTTTAATAATTACTTGCAAAAGTTTTCCAGCTCTTAGGGTCCCAAGTTCTTTTTACTACCAATGCAATGTAGGCCGAAACTAATCCTCGTTCCATCGAATCGCCCCATTGTAAGGTATATGTAATTCAAGACAGTCTTCAGTGGATCATGTCTGGATTCCACGCTGTGGATTACGGATTGCTGGTTAACTGGATTCCGGAGTCCCTACCAGTAGAACTTGGATTCCCTATTGTTGACTATCAAACTGATTATTAAGTAATGCTGTCGTGCATTTCTTCTTAAAGGTGAGTGTTGGTCTGGACCAGATGCTGCCAAAACCTACGATAGAGCTGGCCCATCTAAAAGCTGTCTTACGAAAGGCGTCCTGCAAAAATGTAATGTCAGCGATGATGTAGAGTGTGTTGGTGAAGCAAACACTAATTTCGTTTATGGAATTAGTTACACAGGTGACTGTCTTTCTTAATTTTTTGCTACTCAAGAAGATCAGGGGCACCCAACGACAATTTTCGGAAAATATCTGTTCGGGAGACAATTTGAGATCTACAATTTTCGGAACATTTGTTGTAAAATTTCTTGCTTGCCTGCCTCTCCTAGGATTTTCGAACATCTAAAAGATGGTCTAATTGCCTATTTTTAACGGATTTTTACCCTAAAAAGGTCACCTAGAATTTTCGGGAGCCTTTTCTCTGGCTGAATTTTCGAAAAGGTAAGTTTTGACCCCTATAATTTTCGGATCACTACACTCTAAATCAGAAAGATCTGTTTTAGCCCTAAAAACAGGGCCGTTTCGGTGAGTAAAATACAGTCCTATTTTTGGGTCTAATTTGGCTCCCTTGAATCAGGGCCAATACAGTCCAATTAGCTAGGGCTGATTTGGTCCCAGGGCTAAAATGGGCCCTACCGTGGGCTGGAATAGCCTTTTGATAGAGCTTTTTTGGCCTAAATTGTCCTCAAATGGCTCCAAGAAGAGCTGAATCAGACTTTGCCCTGCAGGGCTGAATTGACACTTTGGGTTTGAAACAGATCTTTTTAATTTACAGTGTAGACTTTCAGCTAGGAAATCCGAACAGATGAAAAATTTTTAGGGGATAAACATATGCCTACATCTACCGTTTAAATACTAAAATACGTTTAACAATGCTATGTTTAAGTGGTTTTGAACTATATTCTCGTTGGGTGCCCCTGAAGATGGCCAATTCCAACATAGCATTTTATGCCTGCTTATATTTACCCTTTATATTTACTTCATATATGTTTATTAAGTAACAGCCAGAAGGAAAATTCAGCGAGATTCATTTCGGTGAAACAGATTGATCAGATTGATAGACCTTTACCAAAATATCCGTTTCTATCCTGGTAAATTGTTCTCAGTGATACGTAATAGGAAACGTCACGAGCGTCTTGTTATAAATGGCACTCTATCCAAGTATGATGCAATCCGTTTCTCCTGATCTAATGCTTATTCACACCAACTTAAACACGTTTCTGTTTAGGAAAACACAGTGCAAATTTGTCTCTTTCATCAAAGGGGCCGTATGATTGTTGTCAACTAGAAATTTGGCACAAACGAAAGCATAAGTAAAAATTTGCTTGAAATCTATGTAAAAGTAAGTCCTTTAGGTTTCTTCCACTGATTTTTTTTATCTTGTTTAACCTGCTTTAACGAAACATGTTTTGTCGACATGAAAAGAGCTTAGGATGGTAGAAAATATAGTTTAAATGTGTTGATGGGAGTTGCTCTATACTCTGAGTCAAGTGTATTACAGTCAAAACTCTTTAACACAGACACCAAAGGGACAGAACCAAGTGTCCGCTTTACAGAGGTGTCCGTATTATAGAGGTCGGGAATGTATGATGTTTGGCTTTTCTGGGACCAAACGAACTGTCCGTAAGGAGATGTTACACTGTATTGACGTTTCATTTCCTGCAGCGTACGTCTGTCGCACCTTGTATTTATTACAAAAGTTTTCTCACGTTGATAATGATTTTACTTAATTACGTTCCTTTAATGAAATGGGAATTGAAATTCAAAAAACTAAAAAATATTGAAGATGCCGAAGATCTGTATCTTTTACTTGAGCTCACGCAGCGTGCCTGTTTTTAAGTTATAGCCGTGAAAAGAAAACGGCGCGTCATGAGACCCTGGTGCACTTTATTAATAAAGTTCTGTAAAATATTTCTCAGCGCCGACCACGATCCCACCCACAACATTGACGTCATTAACTCAGAGGCTTTCATCACCCACAGTATCTCCAACTCCACCAGGTGGTTATCTAATACTCATTTGCTGCTATAATACTGGCCATGATAGGCCCAATAGTAATTTACATTGTGCAAATGCGGAGTTAGCAGCTCCTGATAGCTGGTGTTCACAAGTGCTTTAACTATTCAAAACTGTCTTACAGGCTCAACTATTTCTTTCCTAATGAACTTACCGTTGCGCACTACTTTCTTTTAAATTTCAACTCCGAACTTTATATAAATACGAACCTCTAGATCCAAATCGCTTCTTTGAAGAGATTAAGGGAGTACGGATCCCCGCCCTATCCCTGACTTTCTCCTGGACCCACCGCTGTTGTGGCCTGACAAAAAAATGTTTACATGTACAGTAGACGTATTCAATAAGGCAGTTTCTTGGTGCTGAGGAAGGGTGCGACTACCAAATGACGTAATACAACAATACTTACATCAAAACACAAAAGCGATCCCACAATAGTTTCTGCAACACCAAGAAATACCCAAATAATTGGTTTAAATTTACTTGCAGTCTCCACACCATTTCCGACAGCATCAGTTTCAACTCCAGGTGGTGATGATGATGATGATGATGATGATGATGATGATGATGATGATGATGATGAGGATGACGGTGATGATGGTGATGACAATGATAATGATAATGATGACGGCGGTGACAACGAAAACGACGACGACGAAGACGATGATGATGGTGGTGGTGATAATGATGATGATGACGACAGCGATGACGGCGACGATGATGATGCTGATGATCGTGATAATGATGATGATGATGATTAAAATTAATTGGAAATAGTGAATGCACGCATGAACAACAAAAGATTGTGACGTCGCAACTAAGTTTACATAATCTCATGCATACACTCTTCTGCTGCAACATTTCCTGGCTATTTTAATTAAAACTCCCCATCCAAGCCATAGAGCGTTTTCACTCACGTGGCCAGCATCTATGCTAATTTATTGGAACGAAAGAAAGCATTTACATGAGAAAAGAGTTCAACTCCCAGAGGATTTTCTTGGCACACCAAGATGGCCGCCGTTTTATTGTTTTGGAACACCAATATGGCCGCTGTGACGTCATGTGTAAACGCTTCATAAAAAAATCTCAGCCAATCAGCAGAGTAGAGTGTAAATGCATAATTATGCGAACTTTGCGGACGCCTGTTATCACAGCAAAATTACAGGTGCTGGGGAGGCTAAAAAGGGCCAAAGTATAACGAATCGTGCCAATTATTTTTAGTTTATTTAATAAACTCCTGACAACATTACTTTCGTTTTTTTCAAAATTTCTTTCTTAACCTCGATCCCATGGAGGAAAAGGCCTGACCCTGGGAACGAGCTTCTACAGTACTACTGTTTTGTTTTTGCTATATATTTTTTCATTTGATACGCACTTATTCAATAAAATGCAATGGACAGCTAGTCTGAGGCTGAGAGTTGCACTTGTAGCTAATAAAATCTGCTGTTTTATCAGCTTCACTTGTAAAAATGTAGGTTCTTATATGTGGGTATTAAATTTATTTCAGAACTTGGTTGAACGATAATTTCGTGCCCCACTTGGTCAGCCATTACGGCTGAAAGTATCGGATATAATGACTTAATGAGATAACTTGGTTCCATCATCAAATTGTCTCTACAGAGCTGTGCATGTCACCGTTTTATAAAGCCCTGGCAAAAAGGCATGTTGCTTAGACGATTACACATTAGCTAAGCCTTTTTCTCCTCGATATATTGCCTAGATACCTGACTTAAGTAAAGCCCTGGTGTCGCGTGTTTAAGACGCTCAGATTATTGTGGAAATTACTACTACAGTGGCATATTTTGCGCGATTCGTTCTATTAGGGGCTGTATCACAGCAGTCCAGTCCATTTACCTTAGTTTTTCCAGCTACTCGCCGCTGTTAGATATTAGAGAGATTTTAAAAGATTCACGTTTACACCAAACGGCAGACGTGAATTTGTACCACGTGACCAAGTTTCCCCCTTATTTTCCGTTTAAAAATTTATTGCCTTCCTCACAAAAATAAGTAGTTTTATGCCAGTTTTGACCATAGGAATCGTTCGGGACTGTTTTTATCTGCTTATTTTCTATTCTGAGAAATCCTCAATTTGAGTCTGACGTTTGCCTTTCGCGGTAAACGTGAATCTTAATCTTTCTATTGATCACAGGGGAGGGGCGGATCCAGGATTTTTCGTAAGAGGGGGTGTAACACTAAGAAACTATCATTTTAACTACCATTCTTACGGTGTTTACCATACAATTCCAGTCAACCTCTTCCCATGTTTTACTTCAACACAAATAAGGCACAAAGACTTTTTTATGCAGAATACCAGTTGTATTTGATATTGGAAAGGCGCAGGTGAGTGGGGGGGGGGGGAGGGTGGGCACTCCCCACACCCTCCCTCAAGATCCACCCCTGGATCATATCGCCCCATGAAAGGTAATCTGGATTAAGGCATGCAGGATTTTTCGCTTGTGGAATCCGGAATCGTGGGCTCTGGAATCAGGAATTCAGCTTAAGGAATCCGGAATCCAGGTTCCACTGGCAACGAATCTGGAATCCAGTACGGGTATTATCCAGAACCCAAGACTGTTCTGGATTACCTCACATAGGGCGAAACCGCGCTACATCAGAAATTTGTAAAAGACAAATCAAGGCTTTGTGTCTCCAGTGCGTTGCATAGACAATAGGGACCTTACAAAACAACGGCGGTAGGGGCAACAGCAACATCAAAAAGCCGGCCCCCCACCTCCAAGCCAGAGAAAGGAGCCCTGGGGACGAGGTTGGGTTTAGTTAACAAAACAACGACTCTGCACGTGCATCAAGCTTTTTTGTACATTTTTTTTGTCGTCCCTGCACGTACGACTGCGACGTGAAATGACAAAATTGTTAGTAAGTTTTTTTTTTAGGATGGGAACAGCAAGGCGATAAATTCTACCATTTCTGTCAGAACTCGGGTGCGGCCCCCTCTCAGCTCCGACATAAATTCCCTTCTTTTAAGTAACTGGGTGACTTGGGATAATCGCCAAATGGTTTGACTGATGCGGAGTCTATTTTTCAGCGAGGTTTTCATGGACGTCGCCATAATCGGATCGTCAGGTCCCTATTATATATAGACATTAACTCCTGGAGAGTGATTTTAACTAAATTTGACCTAACTTTTTGTTTGTGTGGTTGTTTGTTTTGGTGGGGGTAGGGGGTAGGGACACTTATAAAAGTAAAGCGGTCATTTTATATGACAGGAAGTGGCCATCTTACGCCACCAGCAACTTCTCCCCTTCTCTACAAAATTTAATAATGAAACAAGGCAGCTTGATTGGTTGAAATAATTATGTATGTGCAAACTACTAGTAACAGATGAATCTTAGTATGATAAAACTGTAACATGTTTGGGTGGGTTATATTATATTGCTTTGAAAGAGCACTCGTTATGTTTCAAAATTTAACAAATGAGACATGTATGATTATACCTTGCGAAGTGTTCACGGAAACAGCTAACAATAGCGCTAGCTCATATCTTATTTGGGGCATATAAAAATATGTCAAGCTGAAAAGCCTGCATGTCTGACCATCAATATCGTGCATTTTGGATGGAAAAAAAACACGATTGAATGGAACAGCTCAGCGTTGACGCCACTTACATCCGCTTTTTAATTAAGGCTTTAGGTTATTATATTGAATCAGTGAAAGTTCTCGGTAGGTTCATGTGATAGCATCTTCGAGTAATATATCATTCTGTACGTGCGGGGCTGATCCTGTCAACTCTACAACGATGCGCTTGCTGGCATTTTTGCTAATTGTTTCGTTCCAGTGGTACATCTCATTCCAAGGTAAATGCCTTCACATTTTTGAAAACAGATTTTCTTGACTGAAAAATGCGTGCAGATTATAACAGGGAGTGTTAAACAGAGTTTCTAGTGTTTGAGCGTTTTTCTACTTCCTGTGATTTTCTCTTTCATAATATTTTCAGTCTTCGTCTTTCATTTCAAATCATCGTTGGTGTTTTAGTTCCAATCCCTTCCTACGATTGCATTTCGTATTTGGACTGTTAGAGCTGGGTCATTTGTTCGCTGGATGAGAATGCGCTGTTCGCATTTACCACGTACATTTCGCGATCGATAAATTAGATTAGAGATTAGAACGGTTAATAATGTTAATTTGTTTCACGGAAAAGTCTCGATCCCTAGCTATGTTAAAATATCATTATTTTCAGGAGTCCAAAACCCTGTTTTATTGTAATCGAAACATGATAGAAATATGCATTCATTATACTCTGTTCGTGATGAAAACCATGAACGTATTAACCTCGACCCCAGCCACACCCCATTCAACCGTACAATGGTAGAAAGAAAGGAAACATTGATTAATAGACAATTAAAGGACTTTATAAGGTACCTTTAAACTCTCTAACTAACTAGCTCTCGCTAGCTGCTAGATTACCTAATTCTTGCTACTATACAATCGTGTCACGTTTTACATAACTGCAACATCACGACAGCTTTTGAGCAATTTTGAGGCCTTTAAAAATGCTTGCACAATAATAATAATTCCATTTTCTTCATTTTCATGATCAGTTGTGGTGGATGCTGTGGAATCTGCAGATCGTAAGTTTTTAGCCTGGAACCAGGATCCGTAGTTGGGGGGAAGGGCGAAGAAATATGCGAGCAAAGCGAGCGGAGCGGTAGTCTGCTGGGGAGGGGTTGATGAGGTGCTTTAACTGTCTCTTCTCCAGTTCACTGCTCGACTCCCTTCACTCGTCGTTTTTTTCCCACGATGGAACCTCCCCCCAGCCTAGTAAGTTATAATTGTCTTACAAATTCTGTACTAAAGTAGACAAGGTAAATGTGAAATTACTGGCGCTCATCTCAGTTTTATTACGGGATGACAGTGACTGCCGCTTTAACTGTTTATTTCAATTTGACATCTGTTTATTATTAATTCCACATCTTCCTCGCCATTTAATAGAAGTACTAGTTATTGCAGCATCAACACCCTCGTACCCAGCGTCTTCGTTCCCCTTGACCAGCGGTCAGGAAACAGCTCGTCTCGTCAAGCCAGCATGCGCAGTAACAACTGAACGGAATACTATTGTAATTCAGCAACATTCGGCAGCGTTCAAAATGTCATATCGGACCTATTGCGGCATTCAAGTGGCATTAAATACACTACTTTGTAGAATAGCAGTTACAATTCAAAGCAATTTTGTCTTTATCTCTTTTGCTATAATTTTTATGCAAGGTGATGTTGCTGAAATGGTTGTTTTTCTTTTTTCGAACTGAATGTTGTAGCCTGTGTTGGTGGAGTTACCATCAGCGGGTCATCAAGTGGATTTGTCTCAAGCCCCAACTTTCCAAATAACATTGATCCACAAAAGATATGTGTTTGGACTATCACAGTTCCAAGTGGGCGAATCAAGTTGTCCTTCTTGAATTTCACTTTAGAGGAAGGTCAGAACACAGATTGTTCAGGCGCAAATCTTGGTGGCGCCAGTCTTATAATCACGAATGTTGCGTCAGATGATGGCCGCAGTCCATTCCGGCTGTGTGGCCAATCAATACCTGATCCTGTGTACTCAGATGCAAGCTCTATTCAGATTACATTGATAACATCCAGCAATGCACTCCCAGGATTCAAAGCTTCGTATGAGACAGTTACTAATGAAATGCGTAAGTTTCCATAGTCTTTGTACACAGCTCCCTTCATATCATACTATTGCTAGGTTTTCCATCACATATTTTCGTTTAATAAATGATCATTTTTAACAGAATTTATTCCCAGAAACATTTAATTCACAAAGAGCATCTATTTCAAATATCTAAGGCCGCGAAGAATGTCTCGTAGCCAGCCCATAGATTCCAATCCGTGGTGCTAGCAAAAGGCCGGCCTCAAGCTTTGGGGATGGTGCATATTGCAGTTAAAGTCCATGGGAGGAAGGTTTACACCCCCACGGCCTCCTGCAGAATGGACTGGAGGAAGGTAGTTCCCGAGATTAGAGCAGACGAACTACAAAAAAATCTCCACAGTTCTTGTAGTTAACTTTAAAACAATGACACAGCTTTTACAGTTGCAAAGAACAGAAGTCTTAAAACTGAATTCAAGCTCGTACAAGATTCAAACCCTTGACTTCTGCGATCATGGGCGGTGCAGCACTCTACCAACTGAGCTGAGTCCCGGGGGGGAGGATACTCCGGATTTCAAGTGACAGGGATGATCGAACAGAGCCAAAAATCAAAACCAAAAAAATCCCAAGGGCTTCAAACAAACCCCGCAAAAATCCCTGGACCAAAATTTAACCCCCGAAAAATTCCATGCCGAATTTCCGAGCCCAGTGTTTTTTTTTTAATCACGGATTACGTATCACGCGGAAACTGTCACGAATCTTCAGATTGTTTTGAATACCCCCCAAAATCCGTAGTTTAATCAAGCTACCCGAAAAAATTCTTAACAAAATTTTCCTGCCCAAAAAAATCCCAAAATCAAAAATTTCAAACCCAAAAAGGTCCTTCGATCATCCCTGTCACTTGAAATCCGAATTACCCTACCCTCCCCCCCCCCCCGGGCCGCGAGAAGGTTTTTGGTTGGCCCGTTTAAAAACGAGGACGCCGATTAAAAAAAAAAAAAAAAAAAAAAAAAAATAATTTTTTTTAATTTGCCCAAAAACCTTAAAAGTGACGAAAATAAGGGGGGTCATTACAAGCCCACTTTTTCCAAGCAAGTATCAAGTTAAAAAAAACTGTTTATTGGAAATCAA